AAGCTTGCAATGCAATTTAAATATAGAAGACAACTGTGTTGTCCAAAAAAAGTAACTTAAAGTAAAAACAAATAAGCTACTGATTACTGCATTATATTATATTTTATGTTCTGAATTGTCACCTGCCACCAATCCTGCCCCAATCTTGTGCAACGTCTTGTTTCGTCACACACTTGATCTAAGCCCTTAAATGGAAGGATGGTGTATTGGTGAGGGTGTCTGACCGATTTTGGTGGGCCGCCTGAGACAAAAATGCCAGGGCCAATTTTTTTTTGTCCCAGTGCAGCTCTGTCTGGGGCTGCACATTTCTGTGACTGAGAAGTACTTTTTGGCAAACAAAACATATTTATTCATACATAGACCATAAGACATTGAATATTCCTTACTCAGTGCAATTAAAATGTTTTAGGGTTAGTTTTGTATTTTGTTACCTTCATCAGGTGTGACCAAATTGTTACATTCATTCATAAGCTGACGCTTTTATCCAAAGAAATTTTGAATTGCAATTTATGTCAAAGGTTGCAAGCCTCTGGAGCAACTAGGACTTAAGCGTCTTGCTCAGGGAAATATTGGTGGACGTGTCACAGCGGGGAGTTGAACCTGTGTCTCTCACACCAAAGGCATGCGTCTTATCCACTGCTCCATCACCACCCCTTACCACTCTTCCAATACTGACTTTTAGTTTCAAAATTGATTTCGTAATCGTTATTGTAATTTTCACACATACATTAAAGTCAATAGGACCTTTAACAATAAAAAAGTAAAGCCAATCACAGAAAGTGCTCAGGAATAGTAATTTGAACAGTGGGTATTTAACATGCAGTTGTGTCTAATTGATGTTTTTAAAATTTTTCAATGGCAAAAAAGTTATACACTTGTTAGTAGGATCAATTCATTGTTGGTTTTTGGTCTTTTAATGTGATTTATCGACAATAAGATAGATAAAGAGTATTCCCGGCCAAATCCTTTTAACTCAAGCTTAAACATATTCCGACAATGATTTCTAAATGGTAAATAATATAACCATTTGTCTGTAATCAGCAGCCACTTGACAGTTTGTGGTATTTAAGACTCTTAAATTCCTGTCAGAGATGCATTTGTGATGAAAATACAAGGGGCTTAGTGAAAGCTAATAGGACACTCATTTTGGTTGCTGATTCCCTAATTTGCATATTAGTTCCATGCTTTGCTTTGTTGTGTTCTGTGAAGGAACCTTCACCATTATTATCGTGTTGATGTCACCTAGTTCTACATTCCGTACACTGTGAATTTGAGGTGCTTTTGTAGATTCTCCATCACTTGGTGTCTGAAAGCTCAGCTATCCAGTCCCTCTGAAAAGACAGTTGTTCACTTGTTCACTGCGTTCAGCAAAATTGTTTATTCAAACCTGTTCAAAACTCAAACATGGAAGCCCACATCATTTTTCAACAAGTCCAAAAGATGAGACCATCCTGCTTCTCTGTAGAAGAGCAATGTTGCTACAAAGCAGAGGTAAGTTCCTGTACATGTAAAAGTGCACTGTTCATTATTTATGTTACATTGCATAATATGGTGTTTCTGTGAGCTGTTAAACTGTACTGTACCGAATCTGTGTTGCAGAAAATGATGCTGAGGCAGTTTATGCTCTTGAAGCAGCGGGGGCAAGTTCCACGTTATTTATCTGTCAGAGACATGAAGACCTGGCTGTTGAGAGGAAGAAGCTTCCTGGAGGAGTGAGTCAAACTGATCATTGGTTTAACTGTTACACTGGCAGAAACACGTTAAATTAGAGCATTTTAAAATACAGTGTTTTTTATTTTTGCAGGTTTCTGGAAACAAATGAGTACTGGGGAAAGGGACCTGTTCATGGCTGAATTGGTACGTAAAATATAGAGGATCTAGAGACTTGAGAGCAATATTTTAATGTTAACTGTTTAGTTTCATGTAAAAATAGTCTACTGTCAGCTCCATTATGCTCCTGGTGTGACTAAAAAGTGTGTTGTTGACAGGCCTGGACCACAGCGAGGCACTTCTGTCTCGCTCAGATGGAAGAAGAGCTCCTGGAGGAACTGAACAAAGAAAAGCAGCTTTCACAGCTGTTGAGCAGGGAGGTCACACTGGAGGGCCTTGAGATGTTTGTCTCAGTCGTCCACCCAGCAGCAGAGGAGGATGTAAAAACCTTCCTTCCATCTATGCACGCCAAACTGCTAAGAATTTTCGGAGGCATTCAGATCAACAGCGGTCCACTCTCTGAAGGGGACACAAAACCAGCAGAGCTCTTGGAGCTTGAACAGAGTGCTGCGTCCCTGGTGCCAGAGGTGGTGGACATTGCTCTCAAGTTCCTCCTGGAGGAACCAGAGCTAAAAGACAAATGTAAACTTGCCAGTGCTGAGATTGGCAAACTTCTGACTAACTCAGCAGCTCCTTGCCTTTCTCAGTTTGGATCTGTGTCAAGAACTGTTGTGCTTAGCGTCTGCACTAGAGCTGCCCGATCCATTGTGAAAGCCATCTTTGAGAGGTTCGACCAGCGCTCCAAGTCCTTCCACCAGATGGACTATGATGAGAGTGATTTCTCTGCCGGATACGGTGCCATCTTTGCTATCCAGGAAATGGTCAAAGAAAAGTACCTTCGGCTCTTCGCCTCAGAGGAGCAGGAAGGGGCACTTCTTGAGAAGAGAGAGGTTTCTCCACAAGTGCATGAAAATATGGCCACTGCTCCAAACGATGTGACCGAGGACACAGTCTTGGTCAAATCGGGTACCAGTGTGGCTGTGTTCATGGCTGATGAGCCGGAAGAACTGCAGCAGGAAGATGTGAAGGAATCGCACACAGAAGAAACCCTGGTTCAGGACACTGCCATCCAGAACATGGACCACGGAGTGCGAACAGATACATCCACCCACAGTCACGCTGGCCTCTGGAGTTCAGAGAGACTGGATGACCAACTACTGGAGAAGAAGGAAACCTCCCAAGGAGTCCCTGGGGATGAAGAGTTGGCCATTATGCAATATCATTTGACTGAGGTATCATCGTCAGTCAACTGTTTGAAGAGAAAGAAGGGAGTGCGTGCCTTCTTCCGTGGTGTGTGGAAGATGATGACATGCTGCTTTAGTGTATCCACAATGGACTAAAGCATTGTGCATGCACCTTGCTCCCTTCACCCTGTTCCCCTCATCCCCTCATCCCTGCTCTCCCCTGCTCTCCCTGCTCCCCTCATCCCTGCTTCCATCATCCCTGCTCCCCTCATCCCTGCTTCCATCACCCTCCCTGCTTCCATCATCCCTGCTTCCCTCATCCCTGCTTCCCTCATCCCTGCTTCCATCATCCCTGCTCCCCTCATCCCTGCTTCCCTCATCCCTGCTTCCCTCATCCCTGCTCCCCCTGCTCCCCTCATCCCTTCACCTCCTTCACCCTTCTGGATGCAGCTCAAGTTCATCAAGTTGGTTACCAGAGCCAATATCCCCACTTGTTCAGTGGACCCCATGCCTACTATCATGGTCAAGGCATGCCTCTCTAACCTCTGTCCCATCACAGTGGACATCATAAACACTTCTCTGGTATCTGGCTCGGTACCCTCCTGCTTCAAAACAGCTGCCGTTACTCCTATTCTCAAAAAGCCCAGTTTGGACCCGGATGACCTCAACAACTACCGTCCGATCTCCAACCTTCCCTTCATGAGCAAAATTGTGGAAAGAGCAGTTGCCGCCCAACTTCATCAACACATGTCCCACTATGATCCCTATGAAACCTTCAGTCTGGCTTCAGAGCACATCACAGCACTGAGACCGCCCTCATCAAAATCACTAAGTTCCCCTCATCCCTTCATCCTACTCCCCTCATCCTTCACCCTTCTGGATGCAGCTCAAGTTCGTCAAGTTGGTTACCAGAGCCAAGATCTCCACTTGTTCAGTGGACCCCATGCCTACTATCATGGTCAAGGCATGCCTCTCTAACCTCTGTCCCATCAGTGGGAATCATAAACACTTCTCTGGTATCTGGCTCGGTACCCTCCTGCTTCAAAACAGCTGCCGTTACTCCTATTCTCAAAAAGCCCAGTTTGGACACGGATGACCTCAACAACTACCGTCCGATCTCCAACCTTCCCTTCATGGTCTCAGTTTCCACTGTTATGCTGATGACACAGCTGTATATCAGCACCAAACCATCCACTCAGCTTCCCCCTCTGTCACTTGTTAACTGTTTGAAATAAAAACCTGGATGTCATCCAATCTACTCAAGCTGAAGAGCAGCAAAACGGAGCTAATGGTAGTGGCTCCCAAGACGCTGCTCCTGAGGGTAGGTGATCTACTCCTCAAAGTGGATGGTTGCTCCATCTCTCCATCCCAAGAAGTCCGCAACCTTGGTGTCATCTTGGACTCCACCCTTTCCTTCCAGTCACATGTCAAAATTATTACCAAATCTGCTTTCTACCACCTCAAAAACATCTCCAGACTTTGATCATCACTCTCAGACTCTGTGGCAGAGTCTCTCATCCATGCTTTCATCACCTCCCGCCTGGACTACTGTAACGGTGTCCTGTATGGGGTACCCAGCAAGGTCCTGGACAGGCTACAATATGTCCAGAACTCGGCTGCCAGGGTTCTCACCCACACACACACACTAGGTCGTGGCAGCACATCACCCCAATCCTCACTCAGCTTCACTGGCTGCCGGTCAAATTCCGCATCACCTACAAAATCCTACTCCTCACCTATAAATCTCTCCATGCCACTGCCCCCCAGTACCTACTGGGCCTTCTCCACTCCTACTCCCCCTCACGGAACCTGCGGTCCCCCGACAAGGGCCTGCTCTCTGTCCCCCCACCAGACTGCGGACTTTTCGGGATAGAGGCTTCGTGTCGCAGCCCCCACCCTCTGGAAGTCCATCCCCACAGAGATACGAAATGCTCCCTCTCTGGACACCTTCAAAAAACCCCTAAAAATCCAGCTCTTCACAAATTCAACCCTGAATGACCTTTTATTGCTCTGTCTCTGCAATTATATGTAAAGCGTCCTTGGGGTCTCGTGAAAGGCGCTATATAAATACAAGTTATTGTTATCATTATTATTATTATTATCCCTGCTCCCCTCATCCCTTCATCCCCTCATCCTTCCATCCCTGCTCCCCTCATCCCTTCATCCCCGCTCCCCTCCTCCACTTATCCCTTCCTTCCCAATCAGGAGCACAGCTCTCTCATGTCTCATCTAGGGACCGTCTGGGGGGGCTTGAAATAAACTCAGGTGAAAAACACTTCCAAGACAGAACCCCAAAACGGAGTCTCCTCCACCCGGTCTTCTGTACACCCTCCCAGACCAGCCTAAAGAGAGGACATCCTTCTTCCACCATCATCCTTCCCCTCTATATGCATTAATCCATCCTCCATAATCAATGCATTCCAAATTTGCATGTACTGCACATGTACAATGTGCTTGTGAAAAAGAAGGGAGTGCGTGCCTTCTTCTGTGCTGGCTGGAAGATGATGACATGCTGCTTTAGTGCATCCACTAAGGGCTGAATCTCAGCAATCTCTCTACAATAAGTTTTAAATACTGTCTGGCTGCCATGCCTCGATTTTGAGAATCTGGCTTGTTTAATTACAATAAAAATCCATGGATTACTTTTATTTCAGCATTTATTCATTTAGTCTTTTTAGTGTTTGTCTGTTTGATTGAATAACAAAACTAAATCTATACCATTAAGTCTGAACCAGAGCTGGAAGATAAGTTGCCAGTGCTGAGCTTAGCAAACTACGTGTGAACCAGTGGTAGTTCAACATGGCACCTCATGGTAAAGGACTCTGAGGATCTGAAAAAAAGAAATTGCTGCTCTACATAAAGATAGCCTAGGCTATAAGGCAAGGCAAGTTTATTTGTATAGCACATTTCAACAACAAGGTCATTCAAAGTGCTTTACATAAAACATAAAAGCCACAGGGAAATATAAAAAAAAGTTTAAAAGCAGCATAGGGAAATTTCAAAAAATACACATTAAAAGTTACAGTGCAGTGTACAATCAGGGTTAAGAGTTAAATGGAAAATAAAATACTGGAATGTTTGACTGTTCAAGAAGATTGCCAAGATCCTGAAACTGAGCTGCAGCACGGTGGCCAAGACCACACAGCGGTTCAACAGAACGGGTTCCACAAAGAACAAGGCTCACCCTGATCAACCAGTAGAAGTTGAGTGCACATGTGTTACATCACATCAGACAACAGCGGCATTAGTGGTGTAGGAAAACCTTCATTTTTATTTCTTCACCGGCAGGACTGGCAAAACATACACAAACTGTCCGTCAAGCAGCACCGGGAACACACACACTCTTAATCCGACCAGGGCTACGTCTAATAACTGCCACTTCTTCTAATGTGGCTTTCTGACATATTGAGGGGATGAGGGGAGCAGGGGGAGCAGGGATGATGGGAGCAGGCAGCAACATCGATTTTGATGCATTGTTTTTTTTTGTAGTGTCACATTTTAAGAAACTCACATTTGTCCCTACAAAAAATGGCTTCTTCACAAAATCTGCTGTATAAATATCATACATTAATATTTTTTTCCACTTTAAACGAGTCAATATTTCAAAGCTACTTCAGCCTGAAATATACATATCGAATATTATGTTTGGGGGATCCCTTTAAATGTCACTATGTTTAAATAACGCCACGATGACGGGCAGCAACATTGCTTTTGATGCATTTATGCATCTTTTCTGCAGTCGCAGTTTAAAGTTCATAATCTTAGCTTACAAAGACATATGATCATTTCCAGATCCTCCTGTGTGCCGTCTCCTCCTCCACTACTGCTCATACTATCAGGTACACCTGTTCAATTGTTTATCGACACAAATAGCTGGTCAGCCAATCACATGGCTGCAACTTAATGCATTTAGGCACAAAGATGTCAAGACAACTTGCTGAAGTTGTGCATCAGAATGGGGAAGAAAGGAGATTTCACCACATGTATCTGATCTTCCCAATATGAGTGTAATTTGCCTGGTCCTCTACGCTCTGACATATTCACAAGGACACGGTCATCTGGAGAAAGCACTGAGCTCTGCCTCTGATCATAGTATATTTTTCCTCTTGTCCTAGTCTTTGTAATGGTTCTGGTTGCAATATCATTTGCTTCTTTCATTGAATTACGTCCTTCTCTTCATCAATCCTAAAGATCAAGTCAATTGGCAAATGGGGCTTTCAACCAAAAACAAAAAGAAAACAGAGTATTCTGTTGCCTTGCTGGTGGTGCAGTTGTAAGCATGTACACTTTATTCACATAGTCACTCCAATTTCCCTTTTACTCCTCATCCAAGGTCCGCAGCATCGATAACAAGGTGCGATTAAATCTTTGGCTGGGTTCCCTTGTGTTTTGGAGTTGGCCACACCAGTGTACTTTTGCAACTGTCTGAATTACTGGTTCTCAAATTATTTTCCTTGATCGTGATGTATTTTAGCAGGGAAGCCAAATTTGAAAGTTTGAAATTTCAAAGTCATTCAAAATTTTATCTGATTTGTTACGGGTTGGGTAGGCTTGGGCAAATTTAATGAAGTTGTCAATCACTAAGCAGTAAGCCTCTTCTAAAGATGATGCACAAGAAAGCCCGCAAACAGTTTGCTGAAGACAAGCAGACTAAGGACATGGATTACTGGAACCATGTGCTGTGGTCTGATGAGACCAAGGTAAATTTATTTGGTTCAGATGGTTTCAAGCATGTGTGGCGGCAACCAGGTGAGGAGTACAAAGACAAGTGTGTCTTGCCTACAGTCAAGCATGGTGGTGGGAGGGTCATGGTCTGGGGCCAGGGCTGGACGCACCTTTGGGGCCAGTGTGACGTAAATTATGTATTTATATAACTGTTTTTAAAAATGAGCCTACGATTTTCTATACTGACACTGGGCCGGTCCAATCACATCTCTTACTAGCCCCCACCCCCTCTGCTCACTGTTTCTTGCGCTACGGCTGCCGCCAAATGCGCGAAAATAACCGCGTTAGTGAGTGACAAAGTGACAGGGCTGAGGGAGAGAGAGAGCAGGAAGAGAGTGGAGGTGAAGCGGTAAACATGGAGTAGCTCAGCCTGTAGGGAGGGAGGGTCATTTACACTGGGGACATGTAGGCTACCCACCACTTTTAGAAAGCATTTGTTAAAAATATTCCTGAAAAATAGCTTGAACCAAGAAATGTTAATTAACAAATAAAAATGCTATGAAAAAGGTTTATTTGCACAA